TTGATAAATCTTTAAGTGGTAGTAAACAAAAACATAATGAAGATGTAGTTCCGGAAGAAGAGTTTAATAAGAATGATATCAGCGATAATACAATTGAAAAACATCATTGTCTGGTGAATGAAAAGATATCTATCGAGGATGATGTTATGTATGAAAGAAACATCAATCTAAATATTAGTGAACCATTCTCCTTTGATATTAGTGATCCAGGAGAAAATGAATCAGAATTTAAGAGATTTAATCGTAATGAAGGGTCTAGTAAGAGATAATGATGTAATTTTTCCAAAAGATGTAGCTAATCGACACTTCTCCTCTGTTCATTACACTCAATGATTACCCAATGTAGAGAATCATGATAGAAAATTGTTGATATATTCAAAAAGTCTGGATAAAATATTTTGTTTTTGTTGTAAGCTATTCAAGAATGATGGGGTTCAAACTCAATTGGCACATGATGGTGCGAATGTTGGAAAAATATTGGTGAAAAATTAAGAACACATGAAGTGAGTTATGACCATCTCACTAACATGAGTAGATGGATCGAAATGGAAATAAAATTTCAAAAGAAACAAACAATTGATAAAAGTATACAGGAACAAATCAATAAGGGTAGAGAACATTGGAGACAAGTATTGTTAAGAATAATATCCGTGGTTAGAACTCTTACAGAAAATTATTTGGCGTTTCGTGGAGATAATGAGAAGATATACCAAGAAAATAATGGTATCTTCTTAAGCTTAATTCAAATGATTGTCGAGTTTGATCATGTAATGCAAGAGCATATTCGTTAAATTCAAAATAAAGAAACTCATTATCATTATCTTGGACACAAAATTCAGAATGAGTTGATACTTATGCTAGCGGGTGAGATCCAGAAAATAATCATCGAGAAACTCAAGGAATCCAAGTACTTTTCTATGATACTTGATTGCACTCCAGATTTGAGTCGTGAAGAACAAATGTCTATAGTATTGAGGTGTGTTGATATTTCAGCAAGTCCAGTGAAGGTAGAAGAATTCTTTTTAGGATTTTTATTGGTGGATGATACATGTGGAAAGGGACTTTTTGATGAATTAGTGAATGCGTTGAATAATCTAGAGCTTGATATCGATAATATAAAGGGTCAATGATATGATAATGGTGCTAACTTGAGAGGAAAACATAAAGGGGTATAGAATAGACTACTACAAGTAAATCCTAGAGAATTTTACACTCCTTGTGGGTGTCATAGTCTCAATCTTGCACTTTGTGATATGACTACTTGTTGTACAAAAGCTAAATCTTTCTTTGGAGTGGTGCAACGTATATACACTCTATTTTCATCATCTACTAAAAGATGAAAAAAATTTAAAGACAGTGTAAATGGCCTTACTCTTAAGCCTTTGTCTCAAATATGTTGGGAAAATCATGTTGAAAGTATTAGAGTAATAAGATTTCAAGCTTCACAAATAAGAAATGTTGTACTTGAATTGGCAAGAGTTGATGATCCTAAAAAAAAAGTGAGGCGAAGTGTTTGGCAACATATGAAATAGAAAATTTTGAATTCTTACTTGGAATGGTTATTTGGTATGAAGTGTTGAATAATGTTAATAGAGTAAGCAAACATTTGCAAACAGAGAACATCCATATTGACGTTGCTATAGACCATTTAAAATGGCTCATTTCATTTTTCAAAAGCTATAAAGAAATTAGATTTGAATCGGTCGTGATTGATGCTAAAGAGATTGCAAGTGAATTAGACATTGAACTGATATTTCGTGAAAAAAGAGTTATACGTAGAAAGAAACAGTTTGATGAGATTTCTTGTGAAGAGACAACGGAAACAACCAAGAATCTTTCAGGGTCAATTATTTCTTATATGTAGTAGATCGAGCTTTATCATCGCTTCAAAATATATTTGAACAATTTCAGAAATATGACGATATTTTTGGATTTTTATTTGATTTGGAAAAGCTTAAATCCATTGATGATGCTACATTGAAATGTCGTTGCATTAATTTTGAAAATTATTTGAAGCATAACACAGTATCTGATATTGATGGAATGAAATTATTTTCTAAGTTGAAGGTTTTAAGGGAAGCAATATCTACAAAAATGAATGGAGCAGCTAATGTGTTAGATTACATTAAGAAAATGAATTGTTGTTTTGCAAATGCTTGGGTCGCTTACAGGATATTATTGACTATCCCGATCACTGTTGCGTTCGCTAAAAGGAGTTTTTCAAAGTTAAAATTGATTAAATCTTATCTTCGATCAACCATGTCGCAAGAGAGGTTGAATGGATTAGTTATGAAGTCTATTGATTTCTATTGAAAAAAAAAAGAAGTTGGAAAAACTTGATTTAAGTTGTTTGATTACTAATTTTGCATCTCAAAACGTGAAAAGACTAAATATGATGCTAGCCTAATATCTCGGATTGTAAGTGATATTTTATTTAGCAATTCTATCTTTTAGATTGTACAAAGTTTTCATTTAAATATAGATATTTTTTTATTTAAATATTGTTATACGTGTAGAAAAACAAAGTGTGGGGCCTCAAGATTGCCGACTCGCTTAGGGCCTCCGAATTGTCAGGGCCGACTCTGAGATAATGTATATGGTCTATCTCGTTGATAGACAAACATTCCTTAAAGCTATAGAAGTGTTTAAAAACACTTTGAAAAAGATAAAAAATTACTATTAATTTGATTAATCGGTAGTTTTAGATGTGGAAGTACATAGAGTACATTTCATAAGATATTGACAATCCTAGTCATTTTATATCTTTTAATAAAATTATTTTCGACAGATAAATATAATTAACGATATGATAAAACTTAATATAATTAGATGAATATTATGTGGCAAAGCTAAATCCTACCAAAATTGTGGGGGTACGATTTTTTGCATAACATTCCCAATTAAAGTTTGGATACACTTCATGTTTGTGGGGTGGCATTTTTTTCTTCAAATTAGAATACTGAGATATTCAAAAATATTTGAAATTATAAATTACACTGTAATGAATACCTTGATAGACTTAAGAAGCGCATGATGTTGGAAACTAGATATCTAATGCAAGGATTCAAAATCTACTAGTAAAATATGGTTTACTATTAAGAGTGTAGTTGTTTCATGGAAATCTTCAATATAACTTAAGAATTGAAAGAAATTAGAACTTTCAATAAATTAAAAGGAAGCGTTATGGCTTCAAAGATTTTAGAATGATTTCCTATTTGGTGACAATTTGTGCTTGTAATTATATGATTTAATTGAGATAGCTAGCTACAAATCACATGACACGAAATGTAATATATAATGGTAAATCTTAGAATCAGCCGTAGACATAATACTATTTTTGGCAGTTGCTCCCAAATTAAACAATACTGATTATTTTATTGAAGTATAACATATTATATCCGTTTATAGATGGGTTATTTGGAGAGTGAATAAACTGCACATCGAGAGAAATTGGTATATAGTCTAAACTAATGGATCAGCTCAATGGAAACCTAACCTGGCAACTAAAGATCACTGACCTGGCAACTGGAGATCCTACATACTATGTAAAATAGGAAAACTAGTTATGATTGACTTCATAAGTAGCATTTCAGAGTTTTGACTCTCCCCATTTCTATGGTGCCGATAAGTATTGCTTACCAAAGATTGATTAGGATAAGCTACGCTTTTAATGTACTATATCTTGTAAATAGTACAAGGGAAGTATTGGAAAGTACTCTTTATAGAACATCACTATCTGAGTGCGAACTTGGTCGGTTCTATGAGAAATTTACTTAAACGAATTTTCTAGTGCACTTAGAGAAACGAAAAGGTTCGGCGCCGAAATAATGAACACAATAGAGATCCAAAGTTTGATACGAGAGATAATGTGTTCGATCTATTGTCTAGGCTTACAAAAATGGCCAGTATTTCGAAACGTTACTCCATCCGTATTTTCATGCACTTGTTTTTGGTTAAAGAAATATAATTTACGCACAAAATGTATCCAACAAAAATGACTCTTATCATATTTTCAAGTAAGAAGAAAGGAATCTATATAAGCATGTGTCAAACAAAAATTTACTTAGCAGCCATTTGAGAAAGATTTTCAAGATTATAAGGTTTTAGGTCGCATGAAGCGTGTGGTTAAAAAATTTATAAAATTTATGAATTCGATGAAATATATGATTAAAAATAAAGTTGAACAAGAATGTATTCTTAATAATCAATTGGGTCTTAATTTCATGGTTTGCCTCTTTAAAACAAAGAGTATCCCACTTTTAAAGAGTAATTTTTAGATGTTATAATAGTGTAAACCTTGTGGCTGAGTGAATTTTGTCCTAAAGTGTATAAATCTACAAGTCAAGTCTTTCACGATCATTATGAGACGTAATTAGAGTTGTTTCAATTATGTCATCATCAAGATGAAGAGGATAACAAAAATCAATGAATTATGCCTCTTGTACGCTATTTTGACGGCCTATAAATGAGTAGAAACCCTAACCATTGATTGGAAAATATGGTGTTAAAATCAATGTATAAAAACTTGTCAACTCACATGATATCTAAAAAACTGTAAAATTTGATGTGTAGCATGATTGAAAACCAATAGCGGAGGCATACTAGACAAGTGACTGAGGAGAGGCAACTAAGCCATAGCTCTTTGATTGTATGATAAAAATCTTGGTCAAGTTTTGAAAAACAGTGAAATTTTTTATTGTTTAGTTTTACTTTATTTTTCAACAATTTTATGTTAAAAGAACTTGAAGATGCAGCCGCTGAAATAGTCTTCTCTGAAAAATCAGCTGAAAGTTAGCGTGTGGAAGTTTTACGGACATTACTAAAGACTTTGACAAATTCTATTTAAAAGTCATGGATTGACCAAGTATACCATTATTTATTTCAAGCAATATCGAGCAAAAAAGAAAAGAAAAAAGAAAAAAGACTAAAGGACACGTACATGAATTATCTTACATAAATTGAACATCTTGCTGGCCGGAAAGTGCTATACAATTTCCATTTTGTTTTGACCCATTGGCATATTTGAAAAGTATACAATTCACCCCTATGAAAACAATGTTAAATGCTCGAAGTTATATCATTGAGCTTACCTTTCTTTTGATCTAGCAATGGAATTTCCAGCTCTACAATTCCCATCATTCTTTATCATATCAGTGTATCTTCTCTTCTCAGCCCTTTTCACTGAAGGCCAGCCCGAGTGCAACGTAAAGTTGGGCTGGTCGTTATCTGCTGGAGACACTAACCTTCCATGGAACTCGCCTTCGGGTGAGTTTGCCTTTGGATTTAGGCCTCTTCAACGATCTCCGTCTGATAATGAAGATCTCTTCTTATTAGCCATCTGGTTCAATAAAATACCAGAACAAACTATTGTATGGTCGAAAAACGAGTATTCACTTCCACGAGGATCAACAGTCCATTTGACAAATGAAGGGCAACTCATTCTCTACAATCCTCAAAGCAAGGAAATATGGAGGGCTCAAACTAATAATGATAAATCCTCCTGTGCTGCCATGCTTAATTCGGGGAACTTTGTGTTAATAAATGGAAATTCTAGTTACATATGGGAGAGCTTCAAAACGCCTACTGATACAATCTTGCCTGGCCAGAGCCTAAGCATGGATGGAAATCTTAATTCGCGCCAATCTGAGACGAATTATACCAAAGGAAGATTCCAGCTCAGTATGCAGAGTGATGGAAATCTTGTGCTTTACACTATATTTTTACCACTTGGTGATGTAAATAGTGCTTATTGGGCTACTGGAACTGTGCGGGATAATCCTGAAGCCCAACTTGTTTTCGATGAGGCTGGTTATGTCTACTTAAAACAAGGGAATGATAGTACACAAAACATCACGAATAAAGACATGGGTTCATCACAGGATTTTTACCATATGGCAAGGATTGATTATGATGGAGTTTTCAGGGCCTATAGTCATCCAAGAAAGGATTGTACAGCTAATGCCAAAAGTTGCACATCGGCTTGGTCTGTTATACAAAGCACTCCTGAAGATATATGCACAGCAATCTTGAGAGGTCTTGGGAGTGGGTTTTGTGGTTACAACAGCTATTGTGTGAACACAAATGGGAAGCCCGAGTGTTTCTGCCCTGAAGGATACTCTCCGGTTGACTCATCTGATATGTTTAAAGGATGCAAGCCGAATTTTCAATTGCCTAGTTGCCTGCAAAATGGATGGGAACTGAACTTGGAGGTCGTAGAGTTTAAGGAATTAAATAACACTGACTGGCCCTTTACTGATTATGAACATCAGACTGATTCACAAGTAGACGAGGATACGTGCAAAGAATTCTGCCGCCGGGATTGTTTTTGTGTAGCTGCTATTTACGATAAGAACAATTGTTGGAAGAAAAAGTTCCCCCTTTCCTATGGAAGACAGTCTAAAATTTTGAACAGAACTGCCTATATCAAGGTTCCAAAAGGCAACGAGACAGACTTGTGCCCCGGAAGCAAAGATCAGTCTACTTTAGTTCTTGTTGGATCAGTACTTCTTGGTAGCTCTGTATTGATCAATTTTATTCTTTTGTTAATTATATCAGTTGCTGTTTTTTTCATATATCACAAGAAAATGCTAAATTTATGGTCCGATTCAACTTCTTTCGGATTGAGAAAGTATACATACAAAGAACTTGAGAAGGCAACTGGGGGCTTCAAGCAGAAACTAGGCCGAGGAGCTTTTGGAACTGTCTACAAAGGTGTTACTCCATCAACTCCGAAAAGATATATTGCTGTTAAGATGCTGAAAAAGGTTGAACCAGAGGGTGAAAAAGAATTCACAACAGAAGTAAATGCAATTGGGAAGACTCATCACAAGAACTTAGTCACACTTCTTGGATATTGTGATGAAGGAGAAAATCGTCTTTTGGTTTATGAATACATGAGTAATGGATCTTTAGCTAGCCTTCTTTTTGGGATATCCAGACCTCATTGGAACCAAAGGGTGCAAATCATATGTGGTATTGCAAGAGGTCTGACGTACTTACACGAAGAATGCAGCACACAGATAATCCATTGTGACGTGAAGCCTCAAAATATACTTTTGGACGACTTCTTGACGCCAAAGATTTCTGACTTCGGATTGGCAAAACTTTTGTTGGCTGAGCAAAGTCGAGCAGCACTAACAAACATTAGAGGGACAGTAGGTTACTTTGCCCCTGAATGGTTTAGGAAAGGATCTATCACTGTAAAAGTCGACGTTTATAGCTTTGGAGTGATGTTACTTGAGATCATTTGCTGCAAGTCGAGTGTCGCATTTGCAATGGGAGAAGAAGAGGAGGCTCTAATAGATTGGGCCTACGACTGCTACAGCAAAAAGAAACTAAACAAAATGGTGGAAAATGACGAGGAAGCAAGGAATGACATGAAAAGTGTAGAAAGACTAGTGATGGTGGCAATTTGGTGCATTCAAGAGGATCCTTCATTGAGGCCCTCCATGAAAAGAATTACACAGATGCTTGAGAGAGTTGCTGAAGTTCCCGTGCCTCCTCGTCCTTCACTATTTAGTTCGTCTTGATTCCATACGAAATAGTGATAGACATTTATATGTCTTCAGTTGTTTGTACAATAAGGCTTCATTAGAATTTATGCTTGCAAGTTTTCATGTTTAAGCCAAGCACCCTCAGAATTCTGTGTGAAATTTAACATTATCAGCTAGCCTTAATATTCACCAGATAATTTTTAGCCTATCTGGTAGTTGTGTGTGTGTTGATCTTACTCTATGAAGTAGCTGCAATATTATTCCATCATGTAGCCTCAACCTTTAGCAATTACAACATTTGTCATCACTTTGGATGCACATAAGGTTTCAGTTGAGCAATGCTATTCATCACCCGTTTAGGGCTCCTTGATTGACAAATCACTGAGAGCACACCGTCACCTAAACTGATGACTATTCATTGCTATCTAAACTGATGATAACCATCACGGAGCAAGGTGATGAATAAAATTATTCATTACACATGGGATGTATAAGGGCTGAGGAAATTAAATTTTAGAATTCTTTTACCGAATTTGTTGCCCTCCAACCAAATACGAGATCAAACTATTCAAATTATAAGTGCTCGAAAAAGGTAATTTTGTTTTGAAATTTAAGGTAATTTCAAACAGTATATTTCAACAAAAATAAATAGATGCAGTAATTTCTCTAATTTAGATTTTACAGTAGCTACTTCAGCTGAAAAGTACTCGTTAAGCATTATTTCCAATCTACCCAAATTTATAACTGAATACGCTATATTTGGTAGCTCTCAATTACACAAACAGCAGATCTAGAGCGTAAAACGATACAGAATCGATGGCAAGATAACAGAAAAAGTTGTCACTTTTTTATATGTTCTATACAGCATCGGAAACACCAAATTATGCAACTTCATACTGTCAAATGTGAGGTCTTCACCTGATGTCTTCAGTTTTCAGTTTGTAGCAGATACATTTTTTACATGTTGCTCCACCATTGGGGGTAAGAGAAGACCAAGCCTGGTTTTGTATCTGGTAATTCGTTGGAGCCTTTCTTCTCTTAGCCTGCAAAAAAGGCACCAACATATTGCATTAGGTTGGAATGAGAAGTAACTTAGAATAGGGCATTTTTGAGCAATTTTTTAACTTATATATGATATATAACTAATAAAACGTTTGGTGAATAAAGAAATGTAGCCATTTTAAAAGTTACAACCTACAAGGTAGTATTTGCGGTTACTTAGTTTAACATTTATTTTTTCTTTGTTCAAGATTTTGTGATAAGTATTTCAAGACAGGAGAGTCAATTACCGTGACCTAACCCTCTTAGCACGCTTGATATGTTTTTGCAACAGATCTTTCGTAGACATATCCTCAACAGACTCCACGTCCTGAAATAGAATGAGGAAAGATGTGCGTCTCCTTAATATATAGAATAGCAAATTGCAGTTAGACATGCGATCAAGAAAGAAACTACAAAGCAAACTCTTCGAACTGTCATATTGCCACCAGATGTCCAGGTACTTCTCAATCAACGAGCCAAAAAGTTCAATCCAGACATTATAATTATCTTAACTAATCATCAATGCCTCCATACTGCCAGTACGTTAGTTAAACATAATGCAACCAACTTCAACACAGTCAAAAGTACAACATATCGACCACACAACGCAGCAAAACATACTGATCGGTGTAGCTACAGTAACTCCACGTGTTTTCTTAAATTTCATATCTACCGTTTTTATAGAACCATTTGCCAATGTACCCATCGAAGACCAACAATCTACAAAAATCTTGTCTGGTTAAGACNAAAAAAAAAAAAAAAAAAAAAAAAATCAAAGATAAAAGTGTAATGGATCCGTTTGTCCAACATTCATGGAGTTTATAGTTTCAACGTTTATTACTTAATTCCACAACTGATTGGAAAATTGTTAACTTAAGCCATAACTAGATGTGGGGTTTAGGCTATATATTTACATGGGTTTGGTCCCTGAGCTCCGCCACCAAAAATATATTATACACCATTAATTTCAAAGTGTTGAGAACTTTGAGAACTTAGTGTTGGGAATCTACTTATACATGCACAGCGAAATTTAAAATAATTTTCGATTCCTACCAAGAATCGCCTTTGTGTTTAGATAGAAATTGTGATAAGGATTGTACCTTTGAAGAATTCTGCAATCCTTTTGCTTTTCTTTTAGTTCCAACAACCTTGATTCGCCACCACAGCTGTCCAATTGTCCAGTCTCCAACGATGATCCACACAGAGAATAAGGTTGCAGCTTCTAGGATTTTCTCTTGTGCCAGCAAGAATAATGAAAACCATATGGATCTCAAACCTTAGCTATGTATTTATATAAATCCAAACGGACTCGGCCCAATCCAATATTTAATTAATTCAATTAATTAAACCCGGTCCGTGAATTAATTAATCTAATTAATTAATTCGGGAATATAAATAACAAATTCAATTAATTAATTTATCCAACGATTGTTAAATTAACCAATTGACAATTTGCAATCTTCCAATTCTCTTTTGTGTGCGACTCATTAGGTTCCCGACCACGATGCCTAACGACATGAAATATTATTTTGATCTAATCAAAATTGATAAATTAAAACACCCTTTTAATTTATCGTCAATTCACACTCGTCGTCCCTGATTGACATCTAGTAATGTGTCAGGGCAATACATGTGACGGGAAATGTCATGTGGTATGACAAAACCAAATTCGTTCGTTTACCGTGAAACTATAATCCCTTCGTCAATATGATTCGATCAATTACGAGATATGAAATTGTGTCAATCTCGATCATCGATCATATCTTTCACTCTACTATTAAGTCAATACAAGTCAAAAACTCATTTTCGACTTATGACTACACCTTGGCCAAGGATTTCATTATCGACTTAATTGAATGTACTATCTAAGAGTGACGAATCCTTTATTGATCAATCACAACCTTCATACGATTCTTGACGTACCCGAACGATATCGTATTAGCGGCCCTTTTCAGAGCAACACTCAACACCGCCAAAGTATGACTGTCCTCATATTAGGTACCATGACGACCTCAAGTCAAATGATCGATTCCACTACCGAACATTAGAGATTAACCACTAACACTTAGATAGTTATCCATGTGGAATCTCTCGACGAGTCTCCAATGTTTTGTTCTATAACAAAACATCCACGTGTTCATTTAAGTATCTCCACACTTTAGCTTGTGAGATCAGCTACTTACTTCACAAGTAAGAAATGCCACACGTGATGGTCTATCCGTAATAACGATATCCGTATCTCGTTATTACTTACGACCACGGATGATTTAAGATTCAATCAGATGGTTATTACTTATGACCACAGACGATTTAAGATTCAATCATATGTAATTTGTATTTAACAATCACAAGTCCTTGCAATTAACAAATTACGAAGATTTGAATCTACGGACTCTATTATTTATTTAATTGTCTATTAATTAAATAATAGATCTGTCATTTAATTGCATTAATTATAAATAAAAGTATTTATGTCCAAAGTTGAATGGACCTAGGGCATAATACTTACAAACTCCCACTTGCACAAGATCCAATCACTTATGTATCAAATATCATAAGTTTACATGACGATCATGTTTATACTACGACAACTCTTTGTCAGTGGATCTGCAATATTAAATGTGGAAATTTGCTCTTCTCTTTGCGACATTTCTATGTATTATCTCTCTGATTAGATTATACCGCCTTAATACATGTTTGGATCATTGATGAGACCTTAGTTCCTTTG